GTTCTTATTACCCCTTGCACAATTTGCTCTTCTACAGTAGGAAATAAAAGCAATCTAGCCTAAAAGGAAATGGTTATGATCTTTATTTTTGAATGTTTTTCTTCATGCCTTACTCAGAATCAGATTATGAGTATATTTTTCCCCTTTTCAGAATAACTTGACATTTACAGGTACTATCAGTGGAGATGTTTGTGTTTGGAAAGATCATGTGTTGATACGAATTGTAGCCAAAGCTCACAATGGACCTGTTTTCACAATGTATACCACGTTAAGAGATGGTTTGATCGTTACAGGAGGCAAAGAAAGGCCGTAAGTCTTCTTTTTTCCTCTTTCTGCATGAATGTATATTCTTTAAAAACTGTGTGGATTAAACCCTTTTAACATTAGGCAGTTGAGACATCAGAGCTAAAAGAGTAGTCACTTTTGAATCCCTAAATAGTAGGAAAAAAAGTAGCTACCACCTCCCAAAGTGCAGGTAAGCTCACATGACCTTCAAGTACCTATTTTTTTCCCATTGATTATAAGAGAAAGCCTGGAGTGGCTAGGATCCCGACTTGGGTGCCTTGCTTAAGTACCTAAAGTCAAGGGGGATGAATCAGAATCTAAATGCTGTACAAGTAGTTCTTCATAATTTTCACTTCTAGATAACAGTGATCTTTCCAAAGCACACATGCAAGTTTCTTCAGACATTTTATGATGACTCTTCATCATTTTGGTTAAAAATAATAGGCAAGTGTAAAATAAATTATGTGAACGGATCATAAATTATTTTGCATTATCAATTATACTGCATTACATCAGTTAGCTAATGTTTCTCCAGGTACAAATGCAGGAATTATCAGAGATTATACAGTTCTCCCTCCTTAAACTGAAAAGGGCTGAACTATTATAATCAAAAGTAGCCTTGAAATCACCTTATCATTTTACTAAATGGTTCAATGGTATTTATCACAACAGTGTTATTTTTGAGGGAAGGAAAAAACATTTAGTTTGAAATGTAACTTTAAACCTTAAAAAGTGACCTAGTCCTTGGTCAGTTACTTTTTTTTCTGAAGTTGAACTGAGGTTGTTAATCCAAGTAATTTGCACAACTGTGATTAAATAAATGAACGACAAATATTATAACAACATAGTGCACAGCTTCTTTTGTTAAAGGAAGGATCTGTTTAGTTATGATAGCAGAGGCAGACTTTCTTCTCTCAAATCTAAGGTACAGCAACATGGTCTGTTTCTGGGGTTTTAAGCACAGTATCTCTTCAAGCATTTTAATTTTAATTTTTTCTTAGTGCCTTGCTAGTGATAAAAAAAAAATGCTTGAGCTATAATAACAGTCCATCTGATGACATGATAGTGCCCCATTTTGCAGGGCACGGGCCACTTACTACCTTTTCCTTAAATAGTCCTTAAAGATCCTGGTTAATATTCGAACCCAGATGAAAACTTAATTATTCCTGTGCTTGAAATATTTTCGTCTGGTATTTATAAAACATTACAGTGATTTTATTTGGAGAATGTTCTCTCTACCACTTAGCTTCAAAGCCTATTTGACCTGAAAGAAACAGTAATGAATAACAGAAAGAAACAATAATTCATCTCTTGTGGAAAATGGAGTATCGAAAGCATACAAAACAAATTCTACATTTAGGCAAATTGCATGTTTGCTTCTGCCTTGGCATTTTTAATTGCACTTCGCCAGCCTGTTTTGATAAAATCTTTTTGCTGAGTGTGATGACCAATCATAATGTCAAAACAGTGCTATTGGGAAGCAAAGAATATTACATTGTGAGGACTAGCAATTTATAATTCCTTACAATTCTTCTAGTAATAACAGTACAAAAGCAATCATTGTGATTAAACTTTCTGGAGTTCTTTGTCAGGGTTTGTTCAGTAATCAAAGCTGTAACGCTGGCAGCTCAATATTTTGGAACATATTTTCCTTTCTGTTGGGAGAGATTGTTTTCTCTTTGAAGACAGATAAAACTTATGTCCCAGCTTAACTGGAAATGTCAAATTTATAACTGTTTCATTAAACATTATCTCCTTTTTAGAAACTTTTTTTTAATGTATTCTTTACTGAAATACCAATTCTCTTGAAGGCATTGGGAAATACTTAGTGCTTTCATAATAAACATTTATTAATTTTCTTGTGCAATTAACATTGTGTGATTTTTTTCCTGTATCTCTGTCATCTTTTATTTCACAGCAGGGAAAATAGTGAAATTTTCACAAAAGTAAAAATATTTTGTCATTTATTTTGTCATAATAAAATATGTATCTTTCCAGTTTCCCTAAACTGTATTTTTATCATCTCTTCCTGTTTTAATAATAAGATGGCAGCTTGTTCACACACTTAACTATTCCTTTGACTAGACAAATTCACTAAGAGCTACTCATTCAGACCCAGCTTAGCAGTGACCATCTTTCAGTTTGTTCTGTAAAGTAGTACAATAAGGACTTTGAATCAGTATTTCTTGCTTAGCTAGGAGGCGCAGCATATTGACATCACCTGCTCAGTAAAAACAAGTAGAATCTTTAATGATTTAAAACATACTTAAATGCCTTGTTTACAATACATTATATTAAATAATACAGATCTTTCACACATTGTCTTTTTTGTGCTAGCCATTATATTCCTGGTTGTTCCCAATTTCTTGATAGGTCAAAGGAAGGAGGAGCAGTTAAGCTATGGGATCAAGAGCTGAAACGATGCCGTGCCTTTAGACTAGAGACAGGACAAATGACAGACTGTGTTCGCTCTGTTTGTAGAGGCAAGGTAAAGAAACCGTCATGTCTTTAAAATAAACCTTGTCATTTGTAGGTTGATCTGTATCATTAAATATATGATAAATTGTTTGCTTCTTTTTTCTCTTATAATTAGTATTTGAAATTAAATGTTGAGCTAGAAAGTCTACGACTGATTTTACAGTGGAAAAAAAAATCTACTTCAGGAGATCTTGGTCCTACTTAGGATAATATTCTGTATGTATTTTTATTAAAGACTAAGGGTTTCTATTCTTTTCACATTTCAAATATCTGACTTTCAAGCAATACCTCAACTAACATCATTTATATACAGCCTTGTACTTTAATAAATCATAGATTAATTGAAAAAATAAATTATCTTTGATTATTTTATTACTTGATTTCAGCAAACCTTCTTGGCAGAATTGTAGCTTTGGATTATATCTTTTTTACTGTTGTCCCGATCCGATATCGGGGATCATTTAA